CACACATATCTCTGTCTGAGTCTCTGCCCCCAGCCTTTCTCTCCTCTCTTTCTCTGACCCTCTTCACTTGCCTGCTTATTAAAATCTCATAGTATTAACTCTGCTGCTCACGGCCAGGCTGAATAATTCAATCAGACTAAAGGAGTCAAATTAATCTTTAATGGCATTAAAGCCACAGGGCGAGCGAGCTGGACTCTGGCCTTCACCTGAGGAGTAGGGCTGTTAAAATGGCTGAACAACTAAATTCGAATTTTGTACATAAATATTATCAATATTCGAATTATATTCGAATTTAAAAGGCATAATTTCAGTTAGGGGGGAAAAAGCTTTTGGCTTCTCTCCTGAGGCCACAAGAGGGCGCATCGAGCAAAATATTATGCACGTTTCTTCAAAGCGTAATAAAATAACACGACTATCTTTGAAAAAAGTTTAAAAAAATGTTTATAAACCTTATATAATTAAAGTTGCTTAAACAATTAGAAACAAAACCGAATCATGTTTAATACAAAGGACCGAAAACCAATCACAAAGAGTACTTTCTTCATTTAATTAAAAACTTGAGTTGCAGTGGGATGGGGAAAACTGCCATAAAGTCTTGAGACATGTTTTTAAAAAGTTGAACGTACATTAATTGTGTAAAATTCAGGATGGATACCAATTCGTGCTTGAAGACAGACTTTTATTCTGTTGACAACATATTAAACAGCGGTGATCAGATTCGCAAATCACCCTCGTGCATGCTTCACTGCAGCCAGTCACCCTCTCGGCTGGCGCGAATCTAAATGACCCTACCGGAACTAGTTCATTATCTGGGTGGAGCGTGCAGGTAGAGTGCAATTAAAGGGACCATACATGAAAATTAGTGTAGCAAGTGGAAACACCTTTTTGACCCTGTTACATTCGCATTGATGTTCTTTTTTTCCCGCAATATTTTGAATGAACAACATAGCAGCGCTGCATCTAGTGGGTTCAACTGGATAGACTAACACAAACATTATAATGCAATGACACTTACATCGTCATCGCATCTCGTGCTCCGCTGATAAGCCTGAGAGAGAGAGAGAGAGAGAGAGAGAGAGAATGATCGAGAGAGAAAGAGAGAGAGAGAGAGAGAGCCACAAACGCTCACCGAGAGCTCTGGATCACCATCAGAGGACTAAAGAAGGATTTCAGCTGAAAGAGATCAAATCTATTTAGTGCTAGAGTCCTATTATTACGCTCTTCACATTCGCTTCGCATTTCCCGTCACATTTCATCCAGTCGCGTTAAATATCAGAATTGCTACAGCGCCACTGAGGGTCACGAAGAGACTCAACCATGACTCTTGTTTTGACTGTTGAGCCAGAGCCCAGAATAGAGAGCATTAATACAAGAGACATCTTCAAAAAAAAAAAAAGGTAGAACTCGGCCTGGTTTAATGTATAGAATTCATCATATCTTCTGCTATTCCCAGTGGAGACTTTTACATCTGTCATGTGAACACACAACTATTGCTCTGTACATTTACACTAATGCTCAAAAGATTGGAATTATTATTTTTAACGCTTCTAAAAGAAGTCTCTTCTGCTCACCAGGGCTGCATTTATTTGATCAAAAATACAGTAAAAACAGTGAAATATTATTACAATTTAAAATAACTCTATTCTATTTGAATTGATTTTAAATATAATTTATTTCTGTGACAGTAAAGACATTTATAATGTTACAAAATATTTATATTTCAAATAAATGCTGATCTTTTGAACTTTCTATTCATCTGTGTATCCTGAAAAATAAAATGCATCACGGTTTCCACAAAAATATTGTGCAGCACTGTTTTCAACATTGATAATAATCAGAAATGTTTGTTGAGCAGCAAATCAGCATATTAGAATGATTTCTGAAGATCATGTGACACTGAAGACTGGAGTAATGATGCTGAAAATACAGCTGCGCATCACAGAAATAAATTACAGTTTAATATATATTCAATTCGTAACTTGTGTATAGATTTCTACTTCTAAGTCACTGACCTGATTTGGCTTCTTCTAATTCTTTGGCTTCCTCGAGTTCTTTTGCTTCTTCCTCTATAAAGAGAAAACGGATGAGAGGGAATGAGTTTACAGTCTCCAAACACAAACATGCATTCACAGACACTGAGAAAAACGCCGTTCAGGAAGAACGGTTTGCCAACATTCAATATTTGTGGCCTGCAGGAGAAAATCCATGTGAAAAGATCAAGCTTCCTCAAGCACACACTTTACAGTCTGCTTTCTCTACAGTCTACTGTAAACTTCCCAGACTGACAATCTTGTTTCTTGTTCTTGTTGTAGTTTAGTTGTTAGTTGAGTATATAAAGAATATAATGTCAGCTTAATAGAAAGTAAATATTTTCATTTAAACACTTTTAGTTTTTAAAAACATGTCTATATAGTTTTTAGTTGTAGTTATTTTGATATTAAAATTTAAACTAAAGAAAAATGAGACCAGCTGAATTAAAATAATTTATTCAATTATAATTATATATATATATATATATATATACACACACACACAATTAAAATATTAATTAATTTTTTTAATAATTATTATTTTAAATACATTTAAATGCATAATATTTATTTGTTATTTACATTAATAATGAATAACTACTTGAATAAACCAACCAATATACGTACATACACACATAGGTTTGTTAAAAAAAATATTTTAATATAATGAATGTTATTTAAACTATTATATGTAATTATTTAGTTTACATGCATTATTTTATTTTATCTATTTATATAATTACACAAATATTTATAATTGTTCATTGTTTACTGAAACATTTTAATATGAATATTATTGAAACTATTCAATTTAATTATCTAAATATAATATAATATTACACATACATATTTATATTTGTTTATTCGTTAAAAAAGTTATACAATATTACTGAAGCTATTAAATATAATTATTTATCTTATATAAACTATTTTATCTATTTTATATAGTTACCAATATTTATATTTGTTTATTCTTTTTATCTATTTAATTTGATCCATTTATATAATTATACACACACACACACACACACACACACACACACACACACACACACACACACACACATATATATATATATATATATATATATATGTGTGTGTGTGTTTATTATTTACATGCAATTAATTTATTAATAAATGTTCTAATAAACCAAGCAATAAAACATTAGCCATGCAAAACTGAAAAGGATGTTGACTAAAAGCTGATCACATGTCCTCAAGTAAGAGCCAGACATGAAGAAGTCTAATTACAGTCCCAGGTTTCAGGAGTGGAGTGGATCAGCCAGATATTCACTCTTTCTCTACTCTCTGTCTCGCAGTTGCAGATGTATTTTAAAAGCCCAGGGTCCCATGCAGCGCTGCAATGACCTTTATGTAAATGTCTCCTGCTCCACACACAGATCTCATTACAGCGGCGTGACACCAAAGCAATATCTCTCTGCCAGCGCTTCTCCTCCACACATCAGTCTTTCTTCCTGTCATTGCAACCTCCAAGTTCTGCGCTCCCTTGTTACGCAGCGCGACTAATTATCTGGCGGCGCTAATGAACTTCAGCAGCACTGGAGGAGAGTGGGGTGTTGGCAGAACAGAACTCCTCTGGCTTTAGCATCAGCTCAGAGCTCTGAACACAGCCATGCAGAACAACTACACACTGTGTGAGTGTGTGTGTGTGTGTGTGTGTATGTGTGTGTGTGTGAGTGTGTGTGTGTGAGAGTGTGTGTGCG